AAAAAAAGTTAACCATCTTGCCCAAGGTCATAGTGAGAATGTAGCCTACCTACAAGAAAGCGTAACTATTCTTCCTACTAAAGTGAACCAGAAATACAGGTCATGAACAATTCATCCTCAATCCTACTTAACGAGATTTACTTATGGTGAAAATGCCAAAGACAGAAAATTCATGTATGGACTAATATCTTTAGAGAAGAAAATTCTTCTTTCCCACCCCACCCCCGGGCCCATGGGGGAGGGACCACAATATAAAAATGTGTAGGAAGCACAATGGTTAACAGCATGCACTTTGGAGACAGGCAGATCTGGAATATCTATTCTACCACTTATGAAGCCAAATAAGCCTGCTCTCTTCAACAAAACTGCAGTAACTTAAGGCAAGTGAGAATTAAATGACAACCTCCTTAGCAGAATGCGGGCATAAAGTAAACACTAACATAGCTGTAATGGTGCATCATCTTCAAGCCCGGTTCAAAATATCAGTTGTTCTAATTTAAGTAAGGAGTTTCCTCTGTAGCTCTCGTAACATACACACCATTCCTTGTACCCTCGCTGCAATCATCCTGGGATCTGTTGATCCTCAATTCTTCCTAAAGGTTCTCTACCCGCACTGTGTTTTATCCATCCACGTAACAGACCTCTGAACTCTGTTCAACTCAGAATGCACCTATGCCAGTTTCTTCGCCAGATTCTGTTAAAGCCAGGAGCTTTAAGACAAGGCCCTACCCTCAGGTAGTCCCAGTCTATTGGGAGGGACAGCCAGAGAAGCAAATCCAAACGGGAAAAGACTAAAAGCTCAAGGAAGGCTTCAGAAAGGAGAACTGCAAGAAAGCTTAATTTTAGAAGCTTAATTTTAGAAGAGGCACTTGATCTATCTTTAAGTATAAGCAGGCAGAGGGAAAGATCTGGAAAAGGGCATGCAGATATTCCATAGATGAGGCGATATGGCCAAGATATCTGACCCAAGGTCAAGACCCACCCAAGGTCAAGACCCAATCAGAAGGACCTTATAATGCCATGCTGAGTTCTGACTTCAACCTATTAGCCATAAACAAAAGCTATTTTTCACTGAAGTGACAAGATCAAAAACACTACTCCAGTGGCCCCAGGAAACATGGACAGGTGACTGGGTCATCTCAGGGCCAGGAAACAAGAGCAGGAAGGAGATTATTCCAGAGCCCAGGGCTCATCTCCTCCAAAGACTCTTCTCTTAACGCACAGCCAAGCCACAAAGTAAAATGTCCCTTTCTGCCTCTGGAGTATCTTTACACATACCACATCCCTGCCATTGAATTACCCAAGTATGTGTTGGCCTCAACAGACAAGTACTCGTTCTTCATTTATACATTCCCAAAGATAGCAGAGAAACTGCCATGTGTGCATCTGAATGGCTCAATGAGGACAAGACCGGTATTTGCTAACGGGCTGGAACTACTCTATGTGAAAGGAACTACTCTATGTGCAGGGATGCTGTGGTGTCGACACCCACCAGAGGACAACGGTGTACACACACCAGGCAGTCAGGAATAGGTTAAACTACAAGTACAGGGCCTTGTGGGAGGTGGTTAGGGCTTAAGATCTGGGGAGTGCAGGGGACACCTGGGTGGCTCAGTCAGTGAAGCAGCTGCCTTCGAGTCACGTCATGATCCCACGCTCCTGGGATAGAGTTCCACGATGGGCTCCTTGCTCAGTGGGGAGCCTGCTTCTCCCTCTGCCTGCTCTGCCTGCTGCTCCTCCTCCTTATTTATGCTGACAAATAAATAAAATCTTAAAAAAAAAAAAAAAGTCGTGGGGAGTGTAAGCTAAATCAGTGGAAGAGCCTCAGGGGGAAAAAAAAAAATCGAAGCTGAAAGAACATACGAAGAAAAGAAAAAACAAAAGGAAAATTCCACATGAGAAAGAAAGGATGCCTAAGAGGTAGAATCAGAAAGGGAGATGGAGAACCACAAAACAGTCGAGAGGATTTTAGGTCCATCTGAAATTGACTATTACATTAAAAAAAAGGTAGCAGGTACTATTCAGCACTTGGTAACTTTTTGATGTTCTTATTTTAAGACAAGGATTAAAAAGGCAAGGACAAAAATCAGTTTATAGCACATGCTTATGTATTCTAATCTCATGGTACACAGGAAAAAAAGCAACCCATATTGGAGACAAGTGCCAAAATAAAGTGGATTATAGTCTTTAAACCTCAGTAACCAGAAGATTTGACTGTAACTGATAACCACTGATCTATGTATGACTGAAACTGCATTAACTCAAACTTAACTCCTAGGCTGACGAGGTACTAATCAGATCTTACTCATTACCACACCCTCAGTGTCTACAGGAAATAAATGCTCTTTAAGTATCTTACACCTTTGTCATTTTTCTTCAAATAAAATGTGTAATTTAGGTGTATGTAGGTGTGTTTGGTACAGGAGAGTACTTAGGAGAGCCAATTAAGGAAAACTACGGGGGTGGGCGCCTGAGTGGCTCAGTCAGTCGGGAGGCTGCCTTCAGCTCAGGTCATGATCTCAGGGTCCTGGGATGGAGCCCCGCATCAGGCTCCCTGTTTAGCAGGGAGCCTGCTTCTCTTCTCCCTCTGCCTCTGCCTACTTGTGCTCTCTCTGTCAAAATAAATAAAACCTTTAAAAAGAAAAGAAAAGAAAAACTATGGGGGAAAACTGTCCGCTCATAAAAAGGGACAGGATGATATGACCTCCTACACTCGTGTTTGCTGTTTAAAAACTTAGTAAGTATACTTCAATATGCAACTCTTTTCCCAAGTCCCCCTTCCTTATAGGCCAAAATCTCATGAATTTAGACTCTCCTTCCAATGCAGATCCCTAAAAACTTCAATATGACTTCAACTACATTTCACAGATCTGGCTAAGCAATTATATGCAAAACTAAACTGACAAGAATGTACTCCACTGAAGATGTCTCCAAATACATTTTAGGAGATCGGGACAGCTTTCACTTCAATTTAGACTACCCAGTAATTCAGATCACAAGGACACCTGGTTACAAAGTTGGTCATTAACCTGCCTTACAATTTAGTCAACAATGCCCTATCATGAGAAATCATTCAAATCACTTTAAACACTCAAACCAGACTAGCATTCTCCTCAATAGACTGATGTTCTCTAAAAACACTAAGCGCAAAACTCGGGTGTAATTTATGTTTCTGTATACTCTTCCAAGGGGCCGTATTACCTGACCACTACAGGAATTCAGCATAGGAACCTTAGGACTAGAGTACACAGAGTGTCCAGTATATGGTACTTGAAGTCTATTAAAGGGAAAGGTTATTTGCCTACACAGCTTTATTGTTAAACTTTCTCGAACCTCACAATTTAAATGCAAGTCAAGATCATGAAGTCTCTTCTTAAAACTACATTGTTTCAGTAAATCCAAAAATTCACAAAATGACAAATTACAAGCTGAACAGTCAAAAAAAGGCGGGGGGAGGGGGGTGCCGGGGCAAGAGAGACCTGGCACTTTTTACAAAGGTATACAACAGCACTAGATTTTGTAACAGCAGTGGCATTTGTGTGTCTTAAAACTATTTTCTCAAGTATAGTATGATACAGAAAAAAGAAACTTAAACGAGAGAGGTATGGAATGAATCATATAATACACCTGATGATAAAATCAGAATGCTTAGACACAACCACATCCAGCCCTACTGTGTGCGAACAGGCCAGTCACCTGACACTATATACACTTCCAGTCATTTGTTCCAAACTTAATGGTAAAAGAGGTGAACTCTGGAGCTGATTAAGAACAGATCAAACTCATTTTTGCCTGAGTTTGAGAAGTTCTAATGGCATGACTATTCCCCTATATTAGAAACAGCCACCAATCCTAAGTACTGCATCCACACATCAGGGATTTTCCTGCAATAAATGTTTTGTGTTTTTAACTTAAACTATCAGGAGGAAAAAACATTTCTTTCCAACCCCATGATCTTAATAGGGTTTTAGGTAAAGAATCAGGTTCCGCCAAAGAGAACAAGAAATCTGTACAAGTCTTAAAGCTTCAAGGATATAAAAACCCTCTGCATTTATATCCCACCCTTTTTAATACCAGGTTACTTAGTTTTAGATGACCTATACTATGGCCCAGAAATGTTCACTTTCAACAGGCCTCCTGACCTCACTCACTAATTACTTCTCTCCTGTAAGTTATGTGCATCATGCATGTTTCCTGTTTAGTTCCAACTAAGTCTAAATACTTCATTGTTCTTTTATTAAACGTATAAATGCATTGAATGTCAAGTAAGTACCTCATCCAGGTCTACCTACAAATCTGTATTAGAGAGGATCAAACAGCAGCAGCCTTGTTGACTACTCCCCCCAGGCTTCTCTCTCCAGTAATACTTAAAGCCCTTAGCCAAGAAGGCCTTCTTATGGCCTGGGGAGATGGTGATTAAGACTGTCCTGACAGTCCTATCAAAGCAAGGACCTAAGGGACAACAGATGTCAAGGAAAGTCACTTATTCTTACATCTGTCCATTCCCACTTGGGTCATCAGCTCTCACCCTTTTAGGCACACTCAATAACTCAGAGGGTCAAAGGGAGTTCCCACAAGAACAGCCCAACAATTACCTGCCTCATTTGCCTGCCACTAACCAGACTCTCATGGCAGTCAGAAATGTACTAGAATCTTAAGACACAAGAACTTCCTCTTTGACTCAGAATAGTAAGAAAACATGTACAACAGTAAGTATAAAGCAGTAAGGTCTATCAACGTTGCAAAAGATTCTGTTATTGTGACACTGATAAGCTCAAACTAGCTTTCTAAAAACATTTTTTAGGATGGGCTAACTAACATTCAAAAATTGCCCACGTTATGTTCTTAGCTTACATTCTACTTAAACATTTCTAGAGCACGTAGTTACTATAATAGACAAAACACAGACAATATATCTGGACCTAAACCTAAATGTGAAAATGGGTCCACAGGCACACTCTTAACCATTTTTCCAAAGAAATATGTTTAAACGGCTTTACCATGCAGAGCTATGGCTTCCCGGAAGGGTTGCAAATCAGTCTCTACAGATGAGCTAGTTTCCGTTGAAGTAGCTCGGTTAGGGGACACTACAGTCAGTCTTGGGGGAGCTCTAGAGTTTCGTGGTGGAGGAACTTTTCCACACAGGAAGCTGATCAAATCTTCTCTACGAATAGTTCTTCTGCGCTTTTTAACCCAAGCCAACACATCCTTATTGCGTCGCTGATAGCCAATCTGAATTCCAATATCAAAACTTCGCTGATGAGTATCCACGCTTTCTGTTAGAGAAAAAAGAACAAGAAAAAAAGACACATAATGATCAGTAGAGCCAGGATCCATTCTTTTCTAAAACAAAACCACATGACAAGTTAAACAAAATGAGTATCATGAAGTATATGGGGTTCTCAAATCTTTTTTTTTTTTTTTTTTTTTAAAGATTTTATTTATTTATTTGACAGACAGAGATCACAAGTAGACGGAGAGTCAGGCAGAGAGAGAGAGAGAGAGGGAAGCAGGCTTCTTGCTGAGCAGAGAGCCCGATGCGGGACTCGATCCCAGGACCCTGAGATCATGACCTGAGCTGAAGGCAGCGGCTTAACCCACTGAGCCACCCAGGTGCCCCGGGGTTCTCAAATCTTAACGGTAATCCATTAAACCAAACTGTACTTCATCCCTGTTTGAAGTGTTACACATGGTTATTTAATCTTAATGGTCAAAATTCAGAGTTAAAACACCATGAAGTCCTACAGCTTCTGCCTTATTCTTTAAAAAACAAATAAAAATTAACTTTCTAAGGTTTTTTTATTTAAGTGATCTCTACACACAACATAGGATTTCAACTTACAACCCGAGATCAAAAGTGGCATGCTCTTCTGACTGAGCCAGCCAGGTGCCTCCCCAAAAACATTGATTTTAAATAGAAAGGAGGGCTATTTCTTGTTAGCCGAGTTACCATTTTTAAAATGCTATTCCCTTTAAAATCTTGCTAAGCTTAATTGAATTAAGCTAGCTTGTTTAATAAAACTAATGATGGGCAAATGATTAAATGTCTATTAGTACTATATGCTGCTTCACCTGAGAAAAAAGGTAGTAAGAAGACCCGGAGGGGGACACCTACATGGCTCAGTAGTAGAGCATGCGGCTGTTTACTTTGGGGTCATGAGTTCGAGACTGACACCGGGTGTAAAGACTGCTCAAATTTAAACAAAACAAAACAAAAAAAACTTTGAAAAGTGGTACAAGGGTTCCCCTATTACAAAAAGGGAACAGCTACTGAGCAACTCTAGCAAGGTCAAAGAATATACACAAGACCTAAAATTGTACTCCAGACTCTGTGGTTATTAACCACTAAGCTCTACTCGCCTGCAGAAATGAGAATTCTCACAATTAATCCTAAGTAGGAGCATCACATCATTCAACAGATGACTACATACTACATACACATCACTCAGGCCACCTGCATTTACCATATCATTTTGGAGATGATGCACTCCTACTGATAGGTTCAGCACCAAGAACTGGGAACACACTGAAGGCAGCAGCCAACATTTTAGAAATCAAGAGGAAAAATTAATTCTGACAACTCAACACCAAAAGCAAACAGCACAGTGGAAACAAGTCATTCATTTCCCTTCATATACTTTCTTTGTGCTTCCAGTTGCCAACAGTTTCCCATAAGTCAATCACTCCTGAAAGACCTGCCTTAAAAATTTCTCAGACTGGCCTCCCAGTCTCCCTGTAAATAAATACTACCCCTGTATATATGGAACTCACATTTTCAGTAAATGATTCCTGACCTACTGGGAAATTTAAGTCACTGCCATTTATTTTTAGTTGAACTTCCAAACTCAGAGAAACTCAGAAGTATACCTTTAATGACATTAAAGACAACGGTTCTATCTATCCCTGGGCCTTTTGTAAGAGCAAGAATTTTTCTGTAGCACAAAGAATCACTCCTCTATTACTTTTCTGGGCCATGATTTTTAAAAAATTCTTTGTCTGAAACATATAACTCAGAAAGGGAAAGGAATAACCAACAGAGTTGTGTTCCAAAAGCACAATAATCCAGTACAGAGGATCCCAAGCTGCATGAATTTGCATTATTAAGCAAGAGTGCAGGAGGGCAGCACAAGCAGAACTTTATCAGGCGGCCTATTCCTTAGACGATCAGTCCTTATTGATATGAAAACTTTTATATGAAAACTTTTCCAAACAAAAAAAAAATGTAAA